GGATCTATCTATCCTATTATTTTATTTGACTATTATTTATTTTATTTATTTCAGGTACTTTTATAGCGCCGTAAATTTACGCAGCGCTTTACATATATATTGTACATACACATCAGTCCCTAACCCTCAAGGGGCGTACAATCTAAGGTCCCTAACTCACATTCATACATACACATACTAGGGCCAATTTAGACAGGATCCAATTCACCTACCAGCATGTCTTTGGAGTGTGGGAGGAAACCAGAGTACCCGGAGGAAACCCACGTAGGCACAGGGAGAACATGCAAACTCCAGGCAGGTGGTGCCGTGGTTGGGATTCGAACCAACGACCCTAGTACTGCCAGGAGGAAGGGCTAACCATTTAGCCACTGTGCTGCCAAATATATATACTCCGATACTCCGGTTTCCTCCCACACTCCAAAGACATGCTGGTAGGTGAATTGGATCCTGTCTAAGTTGTCCCTAGTATGTGTATGTATGAATGTGAGTTAGGGACCTTAGATTGTACGCCCCTTGAGGGTTAGGGACTGATGTGAATGTACAATATATATGTAAAGCGCTGCGTAAATTGACGGCGCTATATAAGTACCTGAAATATATATATATATACACATACACACATAAAGATATACAGTATATATCAGTGTAAATATATACAGTGCAATATATATATATATGATATGCATGATATGTATGGGTGCTGATATATATATATAATATGATATACAGTAGATATCAGTTTAATTATATACAGTACACTATATATCTGAGATATATACACACATTATATATTTGAGATAGATAGATGTGTGTGTAAATTATTATAATATTAAATATTAATATTAAATATTATATACCTTGCTTGTCCTGTGTGTATAACTCTCTCTCTCTCTGTATGTATGTATATATATATATATATATATATATATATATATATATATATCTTTCTCTCACTCCCTCTTTCTCTCTCTCTCCCCCTCTCCCTGTGTGTGTAAACAACTAATCTGCAGCAAACTGCCTAAACTATTTTTGTCCTTACCTTAACAGTATGTGTATCTGTATTTGTGGGTGTGGAACGTAAGATCGTACGATTGCATTGCATGATGTTGATAGTTACATGTATGCTGTAGGAGACACTCCTTACAAATATCTATATGACACAATGCATAGATCATAGGTTCCTAAACAAATGGACCCTTTCATGGTGAAAGCAGGCATCCACAGTACTAATATTTCCTTTTTTAAATGATTCTCTTACCCACCAGCTTCATTTTAACTTGTTTAATTTCCAATACAGAAATGCAGCTTTTGTGCAATAACACGGAAAAGGCAAATGTGTCCATTTTTTTCCTTCTGAAAAGCTATTTTCTGCAGAATGTAGAACTCCCCTGTAAACAAAAGCGACTGAGCCTATTCACATCTGCCGTGAATTCTTGAATGGTATGAAGGTATATATTTGCTTTAGAGTTCTGTGTGAGTCTATCAATATTTGTAGTGAGACAAAAGTATTCAGATGGGCTTGGAGGTATACAAAACGAAATAAATCACCCCAGTGGTAAAGTTCAAGGCACATTATAACAATACAAAAAAAATAAAAGCTTGCAAAAAAAAAAAAAAAAAATCACAAAAAAAAAATCATAAAAAAATTTAAATCACAAAATAGTCAATTATATTCTTTTCCCTGTAGTTATGTATTGAAATTGTGTTTTCTTGTTTTTTTTTTCCTCCTAGAAAGTAGAGGATTGTGGGAATTTTTAACAGGGTTGGGGTCTCTTTAAGAAAGATTGCCTGTAAACCTGGGATGCCTTGGAGAGCAGTTACAGGACTCTATGGGGAGTTAGCAGGCTGCTCTTTTGCTAGACTGTAGGCTGGGTTCAGTGTTGCACAGAGTCATTTATTAGCAAAGACAGGGAGGTAGTCACCTCAGCTGGGCGGGGCTCCAGTCTACTGCAGGCATTTCAACTAGGGCAGGTCTCTTTAATCTCTTTAGCTAAAAACTATCAAGCTAGCAACTTGCACTACCTAGCTATCTAATGTATTTCTGCTTTGGAAACTGCCTAACTTGTACTGCCTGAGAGGAAGGAGATCTGAAGGCGACCCTCCAAAGACTCTTCTTTTTATATATATTGTATGGGCCACCAGCTTTTGCAAAGGAAAGAAACTGGATTTGACTTGGGTTGTGTAGGATCTTGTGGAATACCCGTTTCATGAGCAGTATTGTCATGGATTCTTTTAAAGGGGGGATGAATCTGGAGAGATTGCCTGAAAGTTTAAGACCCCAGCCTTCCCACGACATGACTTCCACCTACCATTTGCAAAGATCATCAGAAACTAGAGATCCAATTGAGAATTCAGCCAGTGAATCATCCGATACTGAACTTCCAGGTAATAAGACTCAGCCATTGTATGACTGTGAAAGCTTGTCAATGATGTGCTCTGCTGTTTTCAGAAAGAAATGCATGAGAGAAAAAAAAAAAACAAACGATGGGTTATTGAGATCCAGCTATAAGGGTTTATCATTCGAATTATTAATAAAAATCAAAAGCGACCTTAACTAATATTTATAATATATTATAGATTAGCTTTTTACTGTGGTGAAATGTCTGTGCATGGTTCACTTTAACCTACGGCCAGATCTATTGCAATGCAGAGAAATATGTATACAGAAAGAAACAAAACCAAACCACACATACTTTCTACCATTACGGTATTTTACAGCAAAAAAATAGAAACAAATGTGATGTATCCTTATATTAATACAGGAGTTTTCCTTATGGATATTATAATGTATCCTTATATTAATACAGGAGTATTATAATGTATCCTTATATTAATACAGGAATTTTAAGATGTCCCGTTTTTCCTGTATAAAATCATACAGTGATTACAATTCCAAAAATAACTTTTTTTTTTAAATTTCTTTATATTTTTTTTATTCTACTTTTATGTGCATGTGTGTCTGTTTAAAGCTCTGTGAAAAGATCAGTCTGGAACTCCCAAAGTAGTTTGTTTTTTGGAGTGTTTTATCTCAAAGATGGCATGTTTATGGGTTTTTATAGCAAAAGAAAATAAATATTTTGTATTCGCAGTGCAAGAGCACATTTGAGGGGAAATACATAAACATCTGCTGCCGTGGATTATCTGAGGACAGGCCTAGTTACTTTCTAAGCAAGAATCTTTTTTGCTGACCCTTTGGAAAATATCTGAAATTTACGTGGGATAGTATCTTTCATTCCACCCAAACAATTCTCCCTCTAAGAAAAAACAAAACAATAAAATGAGAATTTAAAAAAAATTAAATACATTTATATAGTTTTGTTTGGCTATTGTAAGTCAACACAACAATTATACCTTCTTTTTTTTTTTTTTTACTAAAGGCCATCCATAATATAATTACCACCATAAAAAATACAAAACAATCTTGAGCTATCAAGTTTACATAACACAATTCTACAAGTCGATGGATAAAGGACACTTTTTTTTCCTTCACCAACACGTAAAGATTAGACAGGTCAGCTTAGGTAACCTCAACAGAAATATCAAGAAACTCCCACAGGGGTTTTTCTCTCTGTGGCCTATTGAAAGCAGCTACTGAAAGGGGCCTGTAATATAAGTAGCATCAATATTTGTTCCTCAAGGCTCACATTTATGAAACTAGTTTAGGAGGGTGAACACTGCAAAGATTATCGATTTTTTTTTTTGCTTTCTAAAAAATTCATGAAAATAATAAATGTATAACATCCAGATCTCTTGTTTGTTAAAGGATGATGATTACTATGATTATTATTACTATTACTAATAATAATAACATTAATGTGACCTGCTACTCTGCCTGTTATTTTGGTTCTTTTCTTTTTACACAAGTCTAGAAGTTCATAGTTATTTCATTATTGTTTTTCTCTATATTTGTAATATTATTATGGCTGATGATTTTAGTTCTTGTCTTTTTACATATAAGTCTCTAGAAGTCCATAGTTAAGGTATATTATTATTATTATTATATATGTATTTGTAATATTACATACTTGCTAGTCTGTTTATTGTTTTAGCTATTTTTTTTTCTGTATTTGTAATTTTATGGCCTGCTAGTCTATCTATTGTTTTAGTTTTTTTTTCTATATTTGTAATATTATTAGGGCCTGTTAGTCTATCTATTGTTTTAGTCCTTTTTCTCTATATTTGTAATATTATTAGGGCCTGCCAGCCTATCTAATGCTTTCGTTCTTTTTTCTATATTTGTAATATTATTAGGGCCTACAGGTCTATCTATTGTTTTAGTTATTTTTTTTCTACATTTGTAATATTATTGTGGCCTGCTAGTCTATCTATTGCTTTAGTTCTTTATTTTTAACACCGGTCCCTAGAAGCCAATAGTTAACTTTATTCGATAAATTGTCCTGCTTTTTTTTTTTTATTTGCCATTTAAAGAAGTTATGAATGAGACTAATGGCCCTATGGCACGATTGTAAAGGACAGTCTATATACTGCTGTGGGAACCTTGGTTTGGCATGTACTGTGTAGATGGCTGATTTAGGCTAGCCTATGTATTGAATGTATTTATGAATGGATGTATGCAGTATGCATTTAATAAAGTCTCAGGACTACACATGGTAGATTAGATCTGAAAAAAATATACAGGTTTTTAATTACGAAAGTTGGAGCAGAGATGGAGGAGCTACCCAAAGTAACTTATCAAGTTACATCTATTAAATGAAACAAGGAAACTGATTCCTTTCTTTTGACAACAGCTGAAGATTTCAGAAATCGTTCTTTCTGGCTGATTAAAAAAATGAAGGAGGGGGGAATGTTGCTGGTTGCTCAGAGCATCCAGACTGCTTCATTTTCAGGTGCAATCTGGATAGCTGCTAGGTGCCCTTTTTAATGAAATAGATCCAATTGGTTTCATAAATGCTAGAAAGTACTCACTCGTCCTGCAGACTTAAAATTGCTTCTTGTTATAAGCCAGAACCTGGTGACTTAGTGATTGAATGATGACACTGATGTGTGTCTATGGTCTCTCCACAGAGAAGGATAGAGGTGGGGAACCAAAAAATGAGGACGGCAATGTAGAGGACCCTTCTAAGAAGAAGAAGCAGCGGAGACAAAGGACTCACTTCACCAGCCAGCAGCTACAGGAGCTGGAGGCCACTTTCCAGAGGAACCGCTACCCTGACATGAGCATGAGAGAGGAGATAGCAGTGTGGACCAATCTGACAGAGGCCAGAGTGAGGGTAAGGCCAGCACAATCTCTACTCTATGAGCCCAACAATCACAAGCTCACAGTGTGTGGACCTGCAATGGAAAGTCCACAACCGGGAAATCTGATCCATTTCCTTTACAAACTGCACAGAGCTCACTTTCAAAGCCTAGTTCAATTTGTATTAGTGCTCAATTTCTGATCGGAGGCTTGGCCAAGTCATATGATAGTTTCGTGAGCAATCCAATTAATCATCGCTAGCATGGGGCACGGATTAATACATCGACTCATTTGAAAAGGTTCATTCTAATATTACTCCCACCACTCAGGTGACAAACAGGGTTCAAGTGCACCAAGTTTAAGTGCTGAAATCACAAACAAGCACAGGTTATTAGGATTCTTGCTGTTGCTGATACACATAAAACATAATAGTATATATATATATATATATATATATATATATATATATATATATATATATAAAAAAAATATGTAATGTGTGTGTGTATATATAAATATATATAAAAAGTTGTGTGTGTATATATATATATACACACACGCACACTAACTATATATATTTATTTATTTTTTTTAGTTATTACAGGTATTTATATAGCACTGTCACTTTACATATATATTGTACATTCACATCGGTCCCTAACCCTCAAGGGTCATACAATCTACGGTCCCTAGCTTACATTCATACATACAAATACTAGGGCCAATTTTAACAGAATCCAATTAATTACCAGCATGTCTTTGGAGTTTGGGAGGAAACTGGAGGACCTGGAGGAAACCCATGCAGGGACAGGCACAGGGAGAACATGCAAACTCTAGGCAAGTGGTTCCCTGGTTGGGATTCGAACCAGCGACGCTAGTTCTGCCAGGCAGAAGTGCTATTTAGCCACTGTGCTGCCCATTAAAAAAAAAAAAAAAAATATATATATATATATATATATATATATACACATATACACACATATATATATATACATATATAATTATATATATACACTTTTCTTTTTTTATTTATTATAATAATAATAAAAAGAAGAAGAATGTGTGTCTGTGCATAAAAGAGTCAGCAGGCTTATCTTTTATGCACACGCAGATAGATTAGATAGATTACAATGATAAATAGTTAATATGCATTAAAGATACCATAAAAATACAAAAAGAAAACAAAGTATTTTTGGCTAACAAGAAAACTCCATAACTCAACAACAAAGACATTTTGCTTATATTACAAACATTCTCCTAGATTGTAAGCTCTAAAGACCAGGGCCCTCTGTTTCCTCTTGTACCAAATTGTATAGTAACTGTAATGTCTCCCATTATATTGTAAAGCGCTGCGCAAACTGTTGGCGCTATATAAATCCTGTATAATATTAATAATAATAATATAGATCACATTGATAGGATTATTCACATGAGGCTGGCCCCATTTGTATATGTTTTATAATTACATAATTTTATTATATAACTAAAAAGTCAAAGGTTTCCTTTCCATTAGAGTCATGTGGCTTTCCATTACACAATTCCGATTTTCTGTCGGTTACCCCTCCCTTGGTGACACTATGCATGTCATATTTTTCCTATGTGTACAGCTTTGTCTATGTAATAAGATGTGGATGAATCCCATTCCTTACACCCTTATTTTCTTTGACTTTCTTAGTTTAAGTTGTTTCATTTTGCACAAAGACACATTAAAATAGTAGTGCCCCCAAACAAAGACCAGATGGAAAGTAAAAACCCAGGACTGAACCTCAAGGCAAACTGAGATTGAAAGGTTCATTTCATATGGCCCCTAATAAAAGATTGAAGAAACGGAAATGATTTGCATGTAAAAAAATAATAGTTAAAAGTAGCTGCAAAAGGTCAATAAGATGGAATTTTAGACGTCCTGGATATCTTTTAAAGCAGACTGTTTTATGTAAGGGATCCTAACTGAAAATTACCCTCGCCCCCCCTTTTCTCCCACAAAAAAAAGAAAAAAAATCTTGTCTTAATTTGGATTTGGAAGATAGACTTGTGTATGGTAGCAGCAAACTGTATGATGTTATATTCTAGTATTGAATGAGCGCTCTGTTAGCCAATAGACTTCCCACCCCCTTACTGAGTGCTTTTATACAGCAGCATTTTTCATAGGGCATTAAGCAAAGTGGAAACTTCAATATGAAGAGAAGTTTTAAGGGGCCTATAGTCTCCTCTGCTTTGGAAGTCTTAGGTCCTACTTAAACTAGCCACTAAAACAAAAAAATACATCTTAGATTAAAAATAAGGAAGCATTGCACTTAGAACATGAAAAGACTGAAAATGAAGTTATATATATTGTAATCAGTGGAGTTGATAAAGGAGCAGAAGGGAATGCTTGCCTGTAAATTGTGTTTTCATTTTGAAAAGTGAATATTAGTAAATAAAGTGAACCCCTCTTAACTATGGTGCAGGGTAAGAAAAAAAAATGCTAAAGTATGATTGAATCGAAGTGAACGCAGCCTTATTGACATTCACTGTGCAAAGTGTGTCTCTAGTGAGTCAGGTATGTTATTGGGGCTGAAGGACTTTAATAAAAATCTGTCCATTTCTAACCATCATTGAGAAGAAATAGAGCTGGCCCCCATTTTAAGGCAATCACTTTGATTTCCCTGCTGAATGTTTTTTTTTTTTTTAGATTAGTAGTAACATACTAGTGCTCCTATGTAGGGATATATCACAATGGAGGAGGATAACTAAAGGGCGTATCATTATTTTTCTAATACCCACTGATGAATAAATCTATATTTCTTCAGCAGAAGTTGGGTAGTTTTAGTAGTTGCATGTGATTAAAAAGTGGTAACATACCTCAACCTATAAAAACGTTATTAAACAAAATAATAATTGTTATCTAGATTATCATTAGGATTTGGTCGGTGTGCACTGATCTCTAGTTACAAGTTTTAATCCCACTGTGCATGAAGCTTTAAACGCCATGCACATTGAGCTTAAAAAATGCCAGTTCCCTTGACAGAGAAAAAAACGCTTATATAGAACATTTTTGTACAGTTTAGACATGTTTAGCGTTTTTTTTCTGCCAGAAAGCTCCAATCAAAAACGCAAACCGAAAGTTTTTTCCTGCCTCTAAACGTTGAGTTTAAAATATGCATCCTGCATGAACACATAGGGTAACACTGAGCTGCTTCTACAGGCAAAACACAAAACTGTAGAAGCAGCGATGTTTAGTCCAGTGTGCACGGAGCTGTTGCTATTGCAGGTAGTTGGATGGAGACTAACATTCAGCTTAGGTACACAATATGCAAAGATCTTTCCGCTATCATGTAAATCCTTCCTAGCTGTAGAATTAAGCAGCTTTGAATGTTGATGTGATAGAAGAGAATAACTGAATCAAGCCTGGCTGTGTGTTGTGTTAGTACAAACATACACCAAATGATCTGTATTGTTTTGAATGATACTATATATCATTTCTGAATCTTGAAACATGATGATATCTGTACCTACATGATAGTGTATGTTGTAAGGTGCCTGGCGCTAGCTATAAAGTCGATGCATTTACACATGAGAGATTATACTGCAAGCAAGAAAATCATGTCATCTCCATGTCTATAAAATATCAATTTGGACAAGTGAAAAGCTTTGCTCTGCTATGCTGTGTTGCTGTGAGAATTCTTTAACCAACTATTAACCACTGAATAGATGTAGTGTTCTGTCTGCAAGAAACCCTTCATTAAATCCATCATTAATTCAAAATAACAAATAGGCACAAATAATAATTTTATAGACAGATACTCTTCACATTGGCCTATTTCTCGCCTATGTAGTTATTTAGGGACCTGTACATCCCTGGAATTATGTCACGGTGAATGTATGACGATGTACCTTAGGTCCTATAGACATTTCTACCTTTTCAGAAACTGGTGTACATTTAGCATTTTTATCCCTGTGAAAAATCGCATGTAATCAAAAATTGTGTGTCAGCACCGAAAGGTTCCTCAGCTGTCCCCTAGTATTATCAATATACACTGCAGTTTTCTTATCTTAATTTTTTTGTATTAAATAGGGGACATGCATTTTGGTCTACTGGGGGAAGTCCCACTTTGCTAAAATACCCCAAGGAAGGGGCACGGCAGAGATAAAAAAATAAATTAAAAAAAAATATATATATATATTTAGAGAGAGAGAGAGAGAGAAGAGAGAGAGAGAGAGAGAGAGAGAGGGGGAGAGAGAGAGAGAGAGAGAGAGAGAGAGAGAGGGAGAGAGAGAGAGAGAGAGAGAGATTTGTAAGCTCTGACGAGCAGGGCCCTCAGTTTCCTCTTGTACCAAATTGTATTGTAACTGTAATGTCTCCCTTTATATTTTAAAGCGCAGCGCAAACTGTTGGTGCTATTCTGTATAATAATATAATAATAATAGAGAGAGAGAGAGAGAGAGAGAAAGAAAGAAAGAAAAGGGAGAAAGATATTAACAGTTGTTGAAATTTGATTAATCTCCTGCCACTACAAAATCGTAACAATAAAAACTCAGGACCAAAGCTGTGTACTGAAAAAAATAATTTTTGCTTGGAAATTTAAATTTTATGTATACATTTTGGAACAGAAACTAAATTCATATACAATGCAACTCTAGAAAAAAAACAAGCAAAACAAAAACATGTTTGCAAACAGATTTTAGGAATATTATAAAATATATAGAAATATGCTATTGTGACTATTGTTAGTAGCAGCAACATCAACCTATTTGAATATTAATAATAAAAATATATATTTTTATTATTATTATGATCATCATCATAATGTGATTAGGACGCAGAATGATAAAACTGATATTCTTCCAACCTCTAATTTGATACAAATCTGTAATTGTTTTATTTTCGTCCTTTGAGAAAGGAGGCAAGCAATTGATCTGCACACAATTGGTAAAAATAACATGCCATAGCACAGTATTATTTCTTTTATTCTAAAATGCAAAACTGTTTTTCTAATTATGATTCCTCTAAGGGTTTACTTGTTTTCATTTTAGGCTAGCAGCAGTGATCAACGAGCCTGTCTGGTGTGCTTCTACAGCAAATACCATTTTAATTAGGAAAGCTTTCTGTCAAGTCGTTATTTGTACCGTGTGTGTTGTGTGTACCTGTAAAAGAACTGAATGGCAATGAGTTATATTAAACAAAATCCAAGGCGCTTTGTGGGCCAAGGCTATGCGTGTTCACAGAGCAGAGTCAACTCTGCAACTGGTCAGAGCAGTAAATCCTAATTAGTTATACATGCATAGACTGCATATCCAAAGGGCAATGTAAAGATTTTCCTTAAACATTACTAATCCAATACCTTTTTTATGATCTGTAACAAGGGAATTTTATGATGCTGTGTAAGTAGTCGGAAGTGCTGGTCTACTAGTGCACCAATAGTTTTTTTTTTATCATTAAAGTGAGGCCATTGATAAAACATCAGCCATTGCCAATTAATATGCTTGGTAAATTTGAAGAAAGGGATTTAAATGCAGGAAAAAAGCCATCTCCTTGAACAGGACTGGAAGTCTGTTACAGGAGGTGAGGGTATGCAGTATATATAGCAAATACAGCTGCTGGATTATTATAATGAGACACCAGCACCCGACCTGCAGAAGTTTAGTAAAAGAAGGTGTAGTAAATGGCAGGTAATAGATGACTAACTCTCCTATCCAGATGGCAGAGAGCTGAAGCAGGCAAATGACGTTCTCCAGCTGTAGGGAAACTGGAAACCTGGTTTTCCTTGTAATTGGCAGATAGTTTACCAGATGAGACTTGTAGTTCCACTGTACTTTCACCAAGAAGGAGGCAAGCCATGCTGGCCAGCTTTTATATCAATATAATTTATACATAATATGCTTTGCAGATAGTGGCTGGGCCCTACAAGTCCACCACAGCAGAAGACAACTTTGGAGAAAAAGTCATGGTGGCCAGCTTTGGTGTAAATATAATTTATACAAGATAAGCTTTGCAGGTGGTGGTTGGGCCCTTTAGTTCCCCCACAGGGCATGCCAACTATGGAGAAGAAGTCATAGTGACCAGTTTTGGTGCACAAATTATATATATATAAGCTTTCCAGGGGGTGGTTGGGCTTTACTGTTCCACCAAAGGGGAAAGCAACTATGGGGTGGGGGGGGGGAGAGCATAGGTCAGCTTTACTGTAAATATAATTTCATACATATGCTTTTTGCATTTTGTTTCTGGACTTTGCAGCTCCAGCACAGTAGAAGCTAACTATAGAAAGGAAGCTATGGTGACCAGTTCCAAGATATTTCTGACTTGCAGACCATGATGTGTAGTACCACCACTGGTGAAATGAGCTGCCTAGCATATGCTGTATAGCACTTACAGCTTGAATGCATTAAAGGAACGATAAGTACAGAAAGTTGCTGGCTGAAATTTGTAGTTTCTCCAGCTAGGAAAGTACAAATAGAGACAATAAGTAAGGTATGGTAGGCTGATGTGGCACAGAACGTTCCAGAGAAAACACTTGAGTCTTTCACTGCCTTGTAGCTGTGGGCAACCATGGAAATTCCACCTTGGCAAGTTGCTGATTAGCAAACTGGGACTTATAGTGCAGCAGTGGGTGGGAAACCATGCTGAGTAATGGAAGTCAGTATTAGAAGTAGGGTGCCCTGAAGGTTGTTAAAGAATTAGACTGAGGACTTAACTGATTGAGTTCCATTTTGGTTAGGAATCGTATTCAAGTTGGCAGTGATAGAAGTCAGAGAAGCTCTACCTATGGTCAATGGTTTGCAAAGCTGATTGTTGTAGTCGCATCACAAATTTGCTGACTACAACTTTTAAGCCTCATTGATGATTTTCTTCCATGAGCTTTGGATAGCTGTAAATATAAGAAAGTCACTTAATATTAGATCACAAACCTACATTTTTAAGCTCACTTCTCTCACACGGGTACCACCATACTCTAATCTTTGATTGTATGCCTTTCTTAACTAGTGCATAAATAGTGTTGAGTATTTTTGTTTTTATAGGGGCTGACTCATTACAACTGGTGAAAAGTGAATGAGAACAAACATTTGGCTCGATTTACAAATTTAAAAAAAAAAAGTGCTTTTACTTGCATTTTGCCTGGATGCTTAAACACATCTTCTCATTTCTTATTTTCCTATGTAGTGTCCGTTTATGAACCAGCGGTAAATGATCGCTGCTCAGTTCTCAGGAATTCTCGGAGAACACAGTTCTCCTGTGAATGCCGTTTATGAAGCGCTGTAGATCAGTTCTCCGAACGAAGGGAGAACGGTCTACAAACGCTGGAAAACGGCTGATTTTACTATAATCTGGTGAGATTACAGTAAAAGATCAGTTTACTAAACAGAGGTAAATTATCGCTGCTTAGTTTTCGGTTCCTCCGATTCTCCAGCTCTGAGCTGGAGAATCTGGAGGGAGAACACAGATCTCCAGTGAAGGGCTGAACATGTTCTCCGCTGATCTCCTGAGTGTCATAAATTGTGAATGACCAGAGAATAGCTGCGCTCCTCTGAATCGCAGCTATTCTCTGTCATAAACGGACAAATCTCTACTGTTTTAGTAAAGCAACTCCTTAAAAGTGTTACCAATAGCAACCATTAAAGTTTCTGCTTTCATTTTAATGGGGAATAAACAAGAAATCTATATTGTGACTGTAGGCAGTAACTCCGCTTCATTCTTTTTCTCTGGATTTAATAAATCAGACTCATACTATTACTTTACCGACGGTTTGATAAAGAATCCTTTATTATAACATATATTCAAATTTGGAGAAACAATCGTGATAAAGTCAATTAAGTAAATACCTAAATGAAACACCATTTGCTGTCCCATTGACCTCATAACTTTTTGGTAGGGGATTTGTGTAGTATTGGATTATAGTCAGTTATAGTGCATGTAGAGTAATTATACTAATGAGACTACTTTAGTACCCTCAATACACACGCTCTGTATTAATTATCCTTATTTCATGATTATGTCCTCCAAGGGGATATTTAATTCTTTTCTGCACGTATGCCAATACTCATTTGCGCTGAGGCTTTGTTTCCAGGAATGTGTTATATACATGTTGGTTCATAAATTCCAATCTAGCTTGATGAAGACCTATACAAGCCATGGGCACAATTCTGGTTATGACTCAGTTTTATCAACGAGTAGCAGCTGTTGCCAGAATATAACGTAGTGCCTCTAATTAATATGGAGGTAATTATCTTATTTGACCATTTGACCCTCAAAGACCAATTTTTGTGGCTCGTATTGAGGTCAAAACAGTGTAGATAGTTTAAGAGCTCTAGGTAGTTGAGGGTGATCCTTTTGCTATTCGGTCTGACAATGTTCCGGTTATTCTATCTGCAGGTCTGGTTTAAAAACCGCAGAGCCAAGTGGAGGAAGAGAGAACGCAACCAACAGATGGACCTGTGCAAAAATGGCTATGTTCCTCAATTCAGTGGTCTCATGCAACCCTATGATGATGTGTATGCTGGCTACCCATACAACAACTGGGCTACTAAAAGTCTGACTCCTGCTCCGTTGTCCACCAAAAGCTTCACCTTCTTCAACTCCATGAGTCCATTGTCTTCTCAGTCCATGTTCTCTGGTCCAAGCTCAATCTCTTCCATGAGCATGCCATCTGGTATGGGACACTCCGCTGTTCCTGGTATGCCAAACTCAAGTCTAAATAACATCAATAATCTTAACAACATAAGCAGTTCTTCGCTCAACTCAGCGATGTCCTCAACGGCTTGTCCATATGGACCTCCTGGTTCTCCATACACAGTTTACAGAGACACTTGTAATTCCAGTTTGGCCAGCCTTAGACTTAAATCCAAGCAACATTCAACTTTTGGATACAGCAGCTTACAAAGCCCAGGATCTAGTTTGAACGCATGTCAGTATAATAGTTGATGGACTGAGCCTCAGATCATTGTGCCCTGTGGACTTTGCTTTTTTTTTTTTTGAGGATGGACCAGGAAAAAAAAAAATTTTTTTTGCAAGAGACATCAGACTTAAAACACATGGATGAGTTGCAATCTTCTCTCTGGATTATGCGGGTTGTATGTACTTGAACTTGCACAGGAGTTTCCATTGTCCACTTTATAGAGAGATTAGTGGAGGTAACGTGTTCAGATATAAATTCTTGGTGGTAATCAGATACAAGGGGGCTGTTTTGTGGTATACACTGAGATTGGTGACCATTTTATCGCTGCAAAACAGGAGTTTGCAGAGGGTGGATCTAGGGGGAGAGGAAAAATTTTAGATATTAAAAAATAAGGGTTAACCACTTAAAAAGGTTATATGTAATATAGGTGTGCAGTTACTTTGTGTCAGATTGTGCGCCACAGTTGAATAAACTGGTTTTTAATGCATGGATCTCGATGTCTGTCCAGAAAAAAAAAAAATGATGTGATGGTTTTCAAATAACGTGCAAGTTACCACCTATACAAACGACAGTTCCCTCACGAATTAACCCGGAATAAGGATTCAATAACTCCACCTGCACCTATTCATACCCCACATGATCCTCCAAATTGTATTTATGCTATGCTTCGATCTCAATTGATCGTCCTTATTTATCCGCAGTTTGTTTATGTTTTAGGCTCCCCATGTATCTTAAATATGCTATGTAAAATAAAACAACGGAAACAATAACGCAGGAATCCTACTGGTGCATAGAAAGACCTTTCGAGCCAGGTCATAAATGACAGACTCCACAGTTTCCCGATGGCTGAAAAGATATCCTACTGTAACGATTTGTCATCACGCCTTTTTGTAAAATGATGTGAAACACAAAAATTAGGCAATTTTTTTTACCTGACAGAATTGGCTTGCTGATTTATGAAGACCAGATGAATTAAAATGATCTTTGTGCCGGATTTCATAAATCAGCCTTCAGATTTTTGGGGAATTGTCTACTTTGGTTTACTGATGGACTGTGGCCAGGAAATCTGGGCTCTCATCAAACATCCAGTCAAATTCAGATTTTTTTTTTTCGTGTAATCTCCCATAATTTGGGTGTTTGAAAGAAATACAGTTTCCTAATACTCTTCAGGGTTGATTTGCTAAAGGAGAGAATGTCTATTTAGCTTAATGATCGGTAGAGTTTTTTAGAGTCCTAATAGACCAGGAGCACCTATTAGCAAATGTTGAGGGGCTGGTAGGATACAAATCAAAATCCAATATTTTTTTTAACAGAAAAAAAAGGTAAATAAAAACTGCAATACCACACTTTAACATAATGGACTGATACATAGAATCAATCACCTCTGGGTACACACGCTCAATTGTTGGGGGACTGCTAGTATAGAATGATGACCACTTTGCATCAAATTTAGTCTCACAATCAGTTTTACTTAAGTGTAATGTCAAAGTATGATGACAACGTAAATAATAGATGGGCTGAAAAGTAGATACATTATACAACGCTTCCAAACTGTATAAATGCACAGAATATATAATCTCTATGTCTCAAAGGACACCTGGACACTCAGTAGAAGTCCAAGAAGTCTGGGGCAAGTGCCCTGGGTGCCAGGGTCTAGAAACACCCCTGATAATAAATAAGGTAAAGCTTTAAACTCTGTTCACTTCCAACCATGTGCAAGGGGACAAAAAAATCAGTTTTATAGTATACCTTGCTCATGATTGGGTATTTAAAGTGGCTTCATCTTATTCATTAAGCTATGTGAACCTACACTTTGAAAAGTGAACAGTCACCCAAGAATAACTTGAAGGTAGATCCAGCAAAAAAAAAATCAAAATATGTGTTCAGTGAAAATATTTTTCATTACAAAATGAACTTTCTCTACTCCTTCAGTAAATCAACCTTCATAGTAGATCATTCTAAAGTGTCCTCCAAGTTCTCTTGGGTTCTTGAAGGGTTCAGATACAGCTGATGTTGTGTTTCCTACAAGACATACCCTTTTGTAAATTGCCCCATTCGTTGCCGAGATTGTCATTTTTATTCCTCTAGGTTAGAAGGATTTGAAATTCTTTAATCCCCTACAATCACACGCTCACCTTCTTCCCCCTTCAGTCTTCTCAGTGTATTGTACATCTGTGGTAATGGTCATGTGGATGAGTGGATGTGTATAGTAATTATGATGTCGTGAATAAGAATGCAGTGTGCTTTTTTTATAACTTATGTTTTTTTTTTTTTGTGAATACTTTCTTTTTGTTATTTTTTTTTCTCCAAAAATTAAGAGCATGGGAATAAAACAGATTTAAGCAAAAGCTTTTTGTGTTTTTTGCTAGCTAACTTTCTGTTATTTATTATGATGTAATATTAAATTTTCTTTTAAAAATAAGAATATAAATGTATCAACATTGATTTTGCTTGCTTTTTTATTTTATTCCTGATGGTCTTTAGCATAGTCGCGTTTCCCCCAAATTGTGATAGGTTACCATGTATCTTGGCGAAGACATCAGCTTTATATTTTGAAGCTTCCAATAATTTATGAAGTTATATATCTATCTAGTTCAAACTTTGCACTAGTTCTATGCATCCGCCAAGTTCGGTGGGCATTACATTCAACTTTGATCTTCTGTGAAACTGAATGCAATCGGAAAGTTTTTATTTCAGTTTATTGACTGGTTTTGGTTGAGTGGGGTATCAAAACAAATGTATATGCTAGGTTAAATTAAAAACAAAGTGTTAGTATTATAGGCTGGAATTAGTATTCCTACCGCCAGTGCCTACAAGCCCTTTTTAGATTCTAGATGTAGAAGATGTTAATGAAGATTTCCAGCTCAGAAATACCTGTGTACTATTAGCTACAACACTATAGATACATGCTGCAAACTATGTATCAAATATCAAGACTCTTTAGGAAATGTCAAGATAAAAACAAACAAAAAAAGTATTGTATAATTATGAATAGTGCAATCTTGAGACATTGCACAGGACAATCAAATGAGACATTGGGCTATGAAAGCAGAAATTGTTCTTTTTTAATATTAGTTTACACATGGGGCAGCAATTTTTATTATTACCGCACCATCCTCTTTGTTCTATAGGTAGTTCCATTTCCACTCTAGCTTATGACATTTCTCTGCTAGACTGACTTCTGTGCTCCCAGTAAAGGTTATTTAGATCTAAAGCCATGTGTAAAACCTTATTCTGTGTTTTCTGTACCCACAGCAGAATTACTGATCGTAAGGAAACAAAAAAACATGACTTGAAGCCGGACTGTGATTTATAGATGAATGCTATACTTTCCGCACCTTATTTCAGAGCCCAGTGCCCAGTGTTTGGCCCTTTTATGTGACCTTATTGAGGGCTAGCAAGGATCTGACCCTGGAGCTAAAGGCGCTGTGTTTATATTAAGACAGGTATAGAAGTGTTACTTTGTTCTAGGCTCAAAAATAAATAAATCCAGTTTTTTATAGGCAGAAAATGGGATGCCATAATCATAAAACCTGAGGCGGGATGTCAATGCGGCCGAAACGTGAGGTGAATACACAAACACACACACTGATTTACTAAAGGAGTTTTTACATTTTCACACCATAATTTTGTGTGAATATTCACTCCTATTATCCATACACGGGAAGAGCACATTTCTGTTCATAGAATGTATGCGCACACACACACACACACACACACACACACACACCACACACACACACACACACACACACACACACACACACACACACACACACACACACACACACACACACACACACACACACACACACACACACACACACACACACACACACACACACACACACACACACACACACACACACACACACACACACCACACACACACACACACACACACACACACACACACACACACACACAATATATATGGCATTTTTTTAAAATTGTGCATGTTTGTACGCATAAAGACATGCATATGTTATATTATGTGTATTTTTATATGCATAAAAAAAAAATATATATGTATACTACATATGTGTATTTTAAAAATGCATGCAGACACAAAAAATGTTTAGCATATATGTGCATTTTTATATATACATCAAGCCATGCAAATGTATATCATATATGTGCATTTTTATACACATCAATACATGCCAATTATATACTATATAAAACATGTGTATCATATAAGATATGCAAATGTATATAATACTAAAATTTTTAAAACATTACATGCAAAAAATATCCAACAAAACATGCAAATGTAAATCATTAATGTGCATTTTTAAAATAAATCAAAAACATGCAAATGTGTATCATAAAAATTTTTATACACATCAAAACAAAAAATATATACCATATAAGACAAAAAATGTAAAAAAAATAAAAAATTTTTATAACATCAAGACATACCAAAAAAAATCAATACAAACAAAAAAAAAAAAAAAAAATAAAAAAAATAAAAATTTATATTTCATCAAGAAAAAAAAATGTATATCATAAAATGTGATTTTTTTAAAAATCAAAAAAAAAAAAAAAAAAATATAAAAACAAAAAAATTCATGCAAAAAAATATTAAATATTGTGTAAAAAAATGCACATCAAGAAATGCCAATATATATCATACAAAACAAAAAAAAAAACCAAATATTATTATGTGCATTTTTATATACATCAAAGACATGCAAAAAAAAAACATATATGTGAAAAAAAAAAATACACATTAAAACAAAAAATGTAAAAAAATATATTTGCTTTTTTATAAACATCAAAAAAAAAAAAAAAAATATATATCAAATAAAAAAATGCAAAAAAAAATAAAAAAAAAAAAAAAAAAAAAAAAAAAAAAAAATAAAAAATATAAAATAAATGTAAAAAAAAACAAACAAAAATGTGTGCTTGTGTAGCTGTAAAAAAAAAAAAAAAATGAAAAAAAAATTAATTATCCATTTAAACCCCCCCTTTCAGCTTCAAAAAAAAACCTTCACCTCCAAAAAATCAGGAAAATACCAAAAAG